GCACAAAAATGTTCAACGTAAAATTTAATCCACGAAATGGTTGTATGGTCATGACGTGGTTAGTGGTGTCGAAAATGAGGGAAGTAAATAAATAAGATCTTACTGTATATTAAGGAAACAAATAGAAAAATAATTTTGTATCTAATTGTGCAGAATAGAGAACATACAGAAATGCACAAGAAGTGAAGAAAGGTAGATACATGAATAAACAAAACGTATTAGTTTGCGATTTGTACTTATGTATAAACGAATATACATTAATAACAGAGAAAAAGACATAGAATTAACATCAAATTAGTTATGTAAATTTTCTTAATTCAAGTCATGAGACAAAAATAATTAATTGTCAGCACATTGGATTAGTTAAATAAGTAAAACTAAGTTATGAGACAAAGAATAACTTTTGATAATACAATCAATACTTGAATATATCAGTTAGCTGATCATTTATTTTTACGAACAAGACGTCTAATACTTTTGCGCAAATGAAATTGCATGGAGTAAAATGAAAATACAACAGTGGTATGCAATCACTTAATACAAGAGTGTCTATGTCTATTTGTTTATTTTATTAGGTTAAGTATGCAAAACAATAATTAATTGAAGAAAGATAAAACAAAACGAAAGAGTTGCAGAGGTATATAGGGCGTTCTGCAAAATAGTGATGAAAAAAAGTAATCATGTGAACTGCTATCAAACTAAATATAACTAAATTCAAAAACTAAATTAATTTAAAATAAAGATATCAAAAAAGAATTCAGTAACACAGTACACACATAAGCTTAATTATAGATTTTTACAACACACGTCCGTATCGACACATGAACAGACACCTACAAATTCACGTATCTCTCATATTAACAAGTGTGTTTGAGTTTTTCAAATATGCAGCACTACCACACAAAAATAGATTCTTTGATTCAGGGATCAAATCATATTTATAACACGTTTTTGGGGTAGCTTAATTCAAATTCAGGGTCAAAAAACCCTATCAGGCTAAGGTTTTTCGTCGCCTTCGAAAAACCCTTTTTTGAGCTACGTAACAATAAACTATTTATGTAGTTACAACCCCGAAGATCTTGAAATTATAACACAATAAGTTAAATATACTTAATAGTTGTAACTTTGTTCTTGCATTAATCCATAATCCAGAAATCTCATAATCACAATCACATAACTTTATTATTAACTCAGGCACTTTATATCGTTAAAACTTCCACTAAGATTTAGGGTATGTCTCACAGTAAAATAAAATTTAATAACCTCATAACTTTGTAATCCCGTGACATTATAATCCTAGAATTACAATGCTCCTAAATCAAACGGAAATAGTTCACCTGAAGCAATTTCTACGAATTCCAATTTTCACTGATATTCAGGTCAAGATACGTTCGAATAATAAAAAAATGTCATAACTCAATACCACTATAAGAGAATTCCTGAAACTCTATGGGTCTGCATTCAGGGTACCTCTTTGCAGTTAAGACGGTCAATGAAGTAAGACGGTATCTAACTGAGTCCCTGGATTGTAGCTTAAATATCGTCATGGCAGGCATACGCAAGTGTCTTACGCTGCAGAGAAAATTCGGAGCCTCAGTATTGGTGATTGGTAAAAATGTGAAATTAGGCCCCTAAGTGTTGTCTTTAAGAGACCGTAGTTCAATATTCATTGGTGACTTATCTTATGTCAATTATAATGATACAAGAAAACAACTTGAAAAGATCGTGCAATCTTATGACACTCAAGTAGGTTATAATAAATTATGTTATATTTGTGTAGTGATAGTGACAATGATATAGTTACTAGTGAATTGAAGTATGCAGCAGATACGAAGAGATAAAAGATTCCCTCTTTAGTATTGCAAACGAAGTTTAACGATTTTGTTATAGATCTGGCTTACTAAAAGATGATGCTAAGTTTTTAGCTTAACTTTTGAAAATAATCTGTTGTAACCTACAACGAAATTTTCGTTTGATTATAATTGTAATTTTAAATTCTAAAAGAACTTTGTCAAAGATAAAATGTCTATTTTAGGGTTTTGTAAGGATAACAAGGGTTTTATAAATGTATTTCAACCAAATGCTTACTAAGCTTTATATTGGTGACTTTCCGCCAGCTCTTTGCAACATAGCTGTTCTGCTGCATAATACAACAATTTTGGCCCCCACATTAACTGTTTACTCAACTGTTCTAAATGAAAAGTACGAAAGTATGAAAATAATTTTACAAAAAATTTAGTACCAATAACACTTACAGCAGATTTGTGGTGACTTAAAAATTAATAATGATGCTTCTTCAATAATCATTCGGGCTTCACAACATATCCTTGCAACTTGGGTCCATGGGATAGGAAAGATGGATAAAACTATTACAGAAAAGTGAAATAGTGGCACGTGAGATTATCCTTATACCTGATTCAAACAATATTATTAATGAATCTCTCGTGGAAATATAAGATTCTTATTCCTCCGTTCCTTATAAGACTTAGTCTTATAAGATATTTGTGAATGCTTTGAACAAAACAGAGAAAATATTCAAAAATTTATCTTTTAAATTGATTGAGCTTTTAGATGCTAAGTTAAAAGAATAAGTGTTTGATGCACTACAAATTCATGAATATTCAGAGACAACGACATGAGTAAGAGAATAAATAAACTTGCAAAACCAGTATGGTTAAGTTAGAAATATGTGTGTTACAACTTTTTTAGTAGTAAAAAGAGTTTAAAACATTAAAAAAATTTTGTCATAATGGTTACAAACTTTAGAAATTAAGTATGTTTCATAAATGTCAAATTACACTTTCTGGGCACATCTTGATGAATTTTCAGAGTCTTATAGATTTGAATGATGAGCAGGGAGAACGCTTTTACCAAGAGACAAGAGTTTTAGAAAATAGTTATCGAAGACGTTGGAATGTTTATATAATGGCTTAACGAGATATGCTAAACAGTGACCGAAAGCAAAAAGCATTACATATATGGTTTAGTGAAAAAAACTAGCTACAGTAGCAAAAAAGAGTGACGTATGTTATAATTTGGTCATTTCTGTTAAGACATACATTTTAATACTTATGAGTCTTTTACATATACTTTATATTCATGAATTGTATTTTTTTTTGTTTATCATAATCTTTCGTTTTTTATTCCAGTGATTTATTTTTTATTATAGTCAATCATTTTAAATTTAGTCATTCGTTTTTCAGTCTTCTTGGTTATTTTTATTCTAGTCCTTTTTTATGTTACTCAAGTCATGTATTTTTTATTCTAATATTTCCTTTATCATTTAAGTTATTTGTTTTTATTCTAGTCATTTATTTTTCTTTCACTCATTTATTTTTTATTTCAGTCACTTTTTTTTATTCAAGTCATGTCGTGAGCCATCTTATAACTAGGTGTATAAAAGAAATGTGTGATGTAAAAAATCTAATCATGTAATCTTCGCATGGAGTACATAGAGTAACGGTTATAATAATGATTCTATCACTATTTAATGGTATTATGGGACTATGGCACTTTATTTCACTGTATCACGATTTTTCTGGATATCTGTGACGATATGTATTGAAACGGAATTTCAAAAATAAACAGATTTTTTTTTATATGAGCTTCCGGGGTTATGGTAGCACAGGGTTATAAATGTATGGGCTTATTACGTTTTTATCAACTATTGAGAGCTATTTTGAATTTTAGTGAAGATTAACAATAATAAAAACTACCTGGGATTATCAGATCTCATTTGATTTGGGGACAATGAAGTGATAAATTTATAAAGTTATGTGACTGTGCAGCTATAGTTGGTACGTATCAAGGGATAATTATGTTATGATTGTTAGGAGTTTCGGAGTTTTAAATAAATGGCTTACCATTGCATGGCTCCAAAAGAGGCTAACGAATTTATGGACCTTATAGGGTTGTTTTAATTACAAATACATATTAAGTGACCCCTAAAATACATAGTAAGCGTGGTCTGATCTCTAAACCTGAAAATTTTTTCTTGTGTGACTGTGTATTATTAAATATTTCATAAGCTTTGAATACCAATTTAATAGCATGTCGAGAAATCCACATTTTTTAAAATTATACACCAGAATTAAAAAATTAAATTAAAATCGTCTTCAAAAGTCACTTCTTCAGTTATTTATCATTTTATATGAAATCTTACAGAAGTTGACTTTTATAAAAAGGTTAAAATCGTTAGCATACATCTGCTAAAACAATCTGTATAGTTTTACAAAACTGTAATTTAATTTGATTACTGAATAATTAATGACATTGTCAGCCTCTCAAGGTTCGGGAAGACGTACTATAGTTCTAATCATTTTTTATAGGAGAATTAAAAAAAAAAATATGTACAGAGCCCAAACTCCCATCACACTTTTAAGTTCTTTCTTAAAATAGCTTCTTTTAATTCTTTTCTACTTTTCAAGTCCGCAGCCTTTTTTTCATTGGATCTTCTTTTCCAATTACACAACAATTTTGTTGCAATAATACATTTCGTTGCCACTGTTGTATGTCATTTTTGTATAGTTTGTACCTAATCACTATTTTTCTTAAACAATGTATTTTGGACTACGTTTTAACTTATTTTTATACTGTTTAACATTTTAATGGTATAAAAAAAACTTACAATGTATAGAGTAAAACAAACTAAACCATTTCACACTACAGTAGTGGCAACGAGTTTGAGAAGATCTTGTGTATAGAAAGTTATAAGAAGTAGGCCATACGAGTAAGGACTTTGAATCAAAGATATAAGAAGCAAGTTTTCAATCAAAGGGAAATGAGTCCAGAAAAGAATATAACTGATACATATGTAAAGAACAAGAAAAAACAAATGCACTTAAAAACTGCTGGCACATCACAAAAATTATAGTTAATAAATATTTAAACATTAGAAATATTCTTATTAATACATATGGATTTTTTTATGTAAGCCTACAACTACAGATTTAGATTTCTCCTTTTCTTAAGCACTCTACTAATTTACTTTTTTTTTGTAGGGCTTGCCAAGTATGTACACCAAATGCTACAAATTCTGTGTGGAGCCACTGCCAATGTGTCTTAGCAGATGGAGTGGAGCGAGGAATTTTAACTGCAAATAGAATGATACCAGGTCCAAGTATACAAGTATGTGAAGGAGACAAAGTAGTGGTAGATGTAGAGAATCATATGGAAGGAATGGAAGTCACCATCCACTGGCATGGTATTTGGCAGAAAGGCTCACAGTACTATGATGGTGTTCCTTTTGTTACTCAGTGCCCCATTCAGCAGGGTACAACATTTAGGTAGGCCTCAAAAGAATTAAGTAACATAAAAATATTAAAAACTGAAAAAATTCAACAATGTATTCGTACAAACAGATGCTACTTTACAAATTTAATGAAATTTGGTTAAGATAATTCACATTTATCGTATGTCCATGTGCCGGTTACTTGCATAACTTACTACTTAATAAGACTAACGGGATATCCATTACAATTATTTATCATAGCTACCTTACAACTTTCAAAAAACCATTCGATTGTTTTAAAAATACGTTCTGCTAATCTGAGTTGTTTTTTTTATTTCTGATCGATGCTTACGGTAGATTAGGAACTGCAGTGATTTAGAAACATATAGGAAGAAATTCTAAGAGTGAGAAATGTGAAAGGGTAGCGCTGGTAACCTAAGAAGCACCAAACTGCTGATGTTACAGATAAACTAGAATAGTAATATCAAGTAAACAGTACTAAGAGGTAACCCCCATGCTGAGCACAGCAGATTCTGCCACTCTGATCCAGAAAAACGCAGTTAAAACGGTATTCTTAGTGAAAGATCTAACTCGTAGAAAGTTTCCTCTAAAAATAGAATGAACAAAATAAGTTACTAGGTTAGCCAAGATTAAAAAAAAAAATTTTTCACGGTAACTATGCCTTAAAAAAATTACAAAGTAAGTAGTGTAGCTACTTCTTCAGTAATTCCTTGATAAATCGTCACTTAAATCCTACTACATTCACTTTTTTACAAAAAACAATCAGGTGAGTTTAATATATTCGATGTATGTATGTTAAAGAATCTCTTAAACTTTCAAACAGTGGCAATGAATTATATTCTTTGTGATAAATCCTGAGCTTTGTTGATTTGTAAAATCAGAATCTAAGAATGATCCAGTTTTGTTTTTATTTTGCAACTATTTTTCTGTAGGATACTTGTAAAAAATTAAATACAACTTCAAACCATATTGCGTAGTTTAATTTTGTTAAAGGATACATGTACGAGTTAGTACATACTTTAAGTGTCACACAAATAGTTTACTACGCTAAAAAATAAAAAAATAACTTGACCCTTCTTACTTTATTGCAACTGTAAGGCCTTACAAAGTACTAATAACACTATTTATTAAACACATAAGACATACCTTACCTTTCATTTTATTATATTATGTAATTCTAAGAGTTAAGATAATTGTATTATATTTGTATACGTAAGATTATATGTTTCTTAGATGATTCAAAGTAGAAAAAACAGTTCACTTTCTCTTATTTTCTATAAGAAATTTAAAGCTAAAAATATTATACTAATATGCAATTGATAATGTTAAACATCAGACGTATAATAACCATTTCAATATTTAAAAATCTTAATTTATAATTTTTAAATATATTGTGTTATGTGATTTATCAATATATTTTACTTCTAGTTCTAAAATAATCTTCTTTAGTCGTACAATAGTATTAATTTCATTTAACCCTTTTAACAATAAATTTAAAAAAAACAAATGAACTGTTTTTTTTGTCAAACATTATAAGACTTTTTTGTATGATTTTCATAAGCGTAAAGCTTAGGCGTGTTGGCTTTCTTCCTATTAGTGACGAGATCAATTAAATACGTAGTTATAAGCATAACAAAAATCGATGATTACCAAGTATTCATACCATGTAACGTGTAGTAATAGTAAATAATGTAATATTTTATCATTTTAAGATATAAATAAAGTAAATTATAGGTTTTATTTATTAGACATTAGTGCACCAAAAATTTTAGCTCTGTTTAGTATTTAATTTTATTTGAAATTAACTTTACGAATAATGTTTGCTGTAAGCAATTACTTCTACTTCAAATCGATACAAAAATTAGATTTTCAGTTCCGCATCTCTGTGTGCAAATTATTTGTAATCAAAAACTCCTTTTAAAACTATATTTTTTATGTTTGAATCGTAATCACTTACAATTTGTATAAGAATTTTATATTTACTTTTGTACTGAAACATTTCAACATATTGTTGTACATTCTAAATTTAAGGTCTTTTTTAATATGAATCTGCGTTGTCTTAACTATAATCCATGAACTTGTTCATTGTTATAGCAAATACTTAAACAAAAAAATTGCTTTTTGTTCCAAATTAATGGTGAAAAATATGTACTTCCACAATTAAATGTGAATTAAAATGTATAATCTATATTTCTAATTTTAATATCAGTTTTTTTTTATATATGCCATAGTGTCATAATTTAGTTACTTAAAACATTATTATTACGTCAGCCATCGATTATCCTTAAATTTTAGGTCAACATAATTATTGCTCTTATTCTTAAAAAAAGTGTAGTATCAGATTTTTAATACTTTTATACGTTGAGTTATTTATACTGAAACTCGTTTTTATTTTACGTTATTTGATTCATAATTTTATTATTTTAAAAATTAGCATATTCATTCTAAGATATTAGTATTATTGTTTTATTGGACAATCATTATTTCATTGCATATAGTTTTTATATAGCTTTTTAGGTATTATAGCATCAACTTAAAAAATTAAATTAACGTCCCTTATTTTCTTTTTTCTGATGGTAGCTTTGAAGAAATTCTTCAATTATTGTTGAAATCTAAAGTTATGTGTAAAGTTTTATGACTGGTAATATATTTTGGAAGTAAAATGGAGGCAATACTTGTCCAAGACATTAATAGAACTTTTTTATCCTGAAAATTTGAATGATATGATACTTTTTTACATAAAAAAGTTTTTGATGATTTTCCAGGACGATTCATAAGATATATTTTATCTTTCCGTTCAGAAATGCTTACAAATTTTTTTTTTTATCAATATTTAGATAAGTGTAAATAAATAAGAACATACGTTTAGCAAATAAAATGTTTTCGTTGTTATTATTTTGCTGTAAGTTTATCTTTTTTGGGGCATGGAGAGAAAAATCATGGAGCAATCACATAGTGCCAATGAAATTTCCCCCTATTTTGAACCTATGCGATTGGCTCATGGCGTGTGTGCTTTTAACGCATGTTTAGCCCATAAACATAAGCGCTAGCCATGGAGCAAACGCAAGAAGGCCACTGTCTTGTTTCCATCGTGCCTTTGGGTTTTCGGGAGACAGGAGATACTGTTCTATAGTCAGCTATAATGTATAATAGTCTAGTAGTAAATACATACCTATACTTACTGCTATAGGACGGTATCCCTTTTCTCGCGAAAACACAAAGGCCTGGTGGAAAAGAGCCTATGGCCTACTTGCGTTTTCTCTATCACTAGTGCTTAAGGGTCATACCCAGATGCCATGGACAGTATAATGGCAAGGAGGGGTGGTATTGTTGAATTATGTAGTTTTTCATGCTGTGGGAGAAGGGCAGGAAATAAATTATGTGTGAAAAAACACAAAAGATTTTTTTTTTTTAAATGTAGAAGAATGAAATCACTCGACATAAGTTTGATAAGGGAGGAAGTTTAATTCTGAATACTACAAAATATACCAAGGGTCGAAAAATAGAAAAAATTGTCCACAGCATTCGAGTACGACCTTTATGCTTGTAAGCTATAGCTTACATGCGTTTGAAGTACACACGTCGTAAGCCTATCGTATAACTTGAAAAAAGGGGGGGCATTACCATCGCACTTATGCGGTTGCTCTACGACTTCAATCTCTCCGTGTGTAGGTGAATTTAAAAAATTACAAAAGTGTGTTTTAATTTTAGAATTTTATTAACGTGGAATAGTGCACGGTTTTTTTTATTATCAGCAGAGTCTTCTGAAACAAATTATTCCCATTGAAATTAAATATATTCACGTTGAATATTTTTAGAAATAAGAAACCACGAAAAAATTTGTTTTATTAGATAAGTAACATCAAAGAATTATTTGCTTCTTTAAAAATATCATATACGACCCCCACCAACCTAATGAGATTGTGGTTCCCAATATAATGGTCTGAAACTTTGATGAGTTATAGCTTATGCCTTTCTCAACAAAAGTTAGCATAGGCCCAAGACCCGAACATGGATAGTTTTGGAGAAAATTATCATTATAGTCTTTGACTTGGGAAAAGGTTGGTTTAACACGCAGCGCAGTTTAGTATATTAAATAAATATATACCTTGCTCGATGTACAGAGAAATGATCGGAAAGGATTATGTCGAGTGCATCTGCCATTCTTCACTATTAATGGGCGCGATATAATATTATTCCAGTTTAGACAGTAGTAGCATAGCTCATTGGAACTATTGTCTTGTATGGTAGATCTATACTAGGTAATAAAAAATACACTCTAGTATGAGAGGTTGCTTATCGTAACTAACCAATAAACAATTGGCTTTATAACTTTTTAACTATCTATAGCCAAAAAAATTCTCAATTAAGTTCAGTTGTTACAATTATTCTTAGTCAAATATATAAGCTTACCCTACTTTACAACTACATGTCGATTATTTAACAACACTATTATTGGTAAATGTAATAAATAATATTAATCATTTGCTGATAAAGAATAGATTTTACATTTAAAGTCCTTTAGCTATTTTATTTCCGCTATTGCTTACAGGTACGATGAGCTTAGATGTCGACTCCACCATCACTTCGTCATCCAGTTTCCAAAACCTACTGATTGTAGATCCTGCGTTATCTTTAACCTTTTCCTATGGCAATGATTGCTAAATCCCAGGCACAAGATGAAGTTTTTCTAAGGCAAATAAATATTTCTTGCGATGCAAATAACTATCTTAAATTCCATCGTCAAAATTTTACGGGCAAAGATCTTTGATAAACACTACAAACAGAACATTATTCCCTTGAGAAAAAAGTTCTTACATTTCCCGCAACAAAGTTATAAACATCTATTTGGTTGCAGTGATTGTTGAAACAAAGTGCACTACGTAATTTTTTATCCATCACTCTACAAGTATGGCACGATGTGTGGCTAAACGTATGGCCTAAAGTAGGGCTCAATGTGTAGCTGAATTTACGGCTTAATGTACGGCTAAAATTATGGCTAAATGTTTAGCTTTATGACTGGCATATTGTCTG